ACTTGTAATGGTGATGTTCATCAACTGTAATAATGAAAGACTTTTTCTTTTTTGGTTTTTCACAGAATAATTCGTTTATTTGATATTAGAAATGTTTATAAATGTATAAGAATAATTTCAAGAGAAAACTCTAAAGAAAGTTTCTACTTTGTTGCTTTTCATCATAATTTATTCAGTTTTTGATTATTACCCTGAAGAAGTCCAGACAAGTTAGCTGGACGAAACGTTGGAATTAGTTAAATTTCAATCGCTGAGAATATTTCAAATATGATTTTCACATATAATGACTTCTCTATACTCGACGCTCAATTACTGTCAAACTATTCGTTCTAATCTTGACGAATATTCGTAGAAATTTACTTTATCTGTACATTGTTAATGAAAAAAACTAAACAAGTAAGCAACTATTTACTGATATACTATTCTATCATTTATAGAAAATACCAAATGTTACTTCTAATAAATGTAAATTAAATTGGTATAACAGTGAAGTTTTTAGTGTCCCAATGAAATTACATAATTGATCAGCTGATTTTTATAAATAAAATTGAATTCTAATTGAAAGTTCATTTCTTTCTATATACATATATGTAGGAGTTGCTACTGGTGTTAGGTGGTTGGAAGTAGTCAAGAGGTAAAACTATCTAAACTACATTTAGTTCTAGTTGACACTCACCAGCAAGGTATACCTTCTCTCTATGAGATTGAAATTCACATTATTTGGCTTGACAATTTGAGACTTTACCAATTAATTATTTGGAGGGTATAACCGACCTCATATAAGATATTTAAGATTGATGTACAAATGATGGACCAAACAATGGACCATTATATATATATATATATATATATATATATATATATATATATAAAGGTGAGAATTCCTTTATCCTTATTCCATTTCACTCTCTCTCCTTCCTGTGACAGCCATCTAAATGGTTAAATGAATTCAGTTCATTACTTTGTACAACATGAATACAAAATACTTGGAAACATATTGTTTTTGCCTTGAAGATAAAGCCGTGGAATTCAACCATGTCTGTTGTGAGGCATTTATTTATTGAAGACAACGGTGGACGGTCGTGCGACATTGTGGATTGATTGAAGTTAGGCATTAACACCATTGGATTTCAGCTCACTGGTTTGACGGTTCAGCGTCCCGTCATGAGATCGAAGGTCCTGAGTTCGAGTTCCCTTGGTGCGGGATCGTAGATGGTCACTGCTCACGAGTTCCATACTAGGACGAAACAGCCGTTCAGTGATCTCAGGTTTTCAATGGTGGTCTAACATTCATAATATCAATCTAAACTCAACAACCTCCACAACACTATAGTGATAACGTATATACATAAACAATATTTATTATTATTGTTTTGCATTAAATAATAACTTAAGATAAATTAACTGAATTTTTCATAGGAATATATGGTTTGTGATGTGAATCATTTTTCGAGGAGTACTAATAGTCTGTGATTAAATTAAATAACGTTGACAATACATCACAAACTGAAGTCGGAAGTGATAACTATGAAATTTAAACACGATGATCGAGTAGTTTCGTGTTTATTGAGATACCTGAAATTTATATACTTAATCCCACATGAAATTAGGTGTTAAAACTGTTGCAGATTGATAAAATAGGACAGAATATCTGTTCAATATTTCCTATTCTTCGATAGTACTTCAGATGTTTTCATATCGTGATGAAAAGCTTACAGTCAGCCGAAGATGAGTTTAACTTACAGCAAAGATTTATAAAAAACAAACAAACTTCAGTAATTTACAAATCATTGATCACTGAGTGGTAACCAGTGTCATGTACATAAAGTGTCTCTTAGTGCTGGTCAAATTCTATCTATCTGGCTGATGCCGGATCGAATCCGTTAAGACGCATCAATTTTCTCGAGATTACTTGCAAAATTTGCCAAATGCTCGCAGCTTAGATCCAGGGTTTTCTGTAGACTACCCACAAGCATTACCTTAAAACTCTAGTAAGATTTCTCTACCAGTCAAAGTTGCTGAAATATATTCTTGAAATTAGGTTTTCTATATCTATGCCCAACGGAAAGTAGTTGCATATCCTGTCGTACAACAAGATAGTATCAAACAATAAAGAACTCTCAATTCTGAAATAAGTTTGCAGTGAACAAAAAACCTGAAAGATTTTATGTTCGTCATCATTTTTCTATCCTTTTAAGTCGATCAACCAATAAATCCTTATTATATGTCAAGTGATTTGTATTATACATTTACTTACATTTCACATGACTGAAGCAAAGAACTTTTATCTGTAATTCCTCATTTATAAAGATAAGTAGTAGATATAATGAAGTATTAAAAATGTTAAATATATTATAACAGTACGTTCAACACAGAATATGGAGTGAAAAGCTAGTTGTAGTTAACATTTCGCAGATTGTATTTTGATAAGTAAATTTTGTAATCTCCCATAGAATGGAAGGTAGCGTTTGAAATTGTTAACGTTCTTATTCTTCACTGAAGACTATAAATACATGTATTCATAACACTCTAAATTGTGCACCATGGAATATTTCAAGAAAATAGAACTCTATGGTTCAGTAATAATTTCTTTAATTATATTAGTGGATGACTCGGGTCCGAATTCCACGAGAAAAATTAGTTCTCGTAATATTTCATAAACCTTACTGATGAGACCAAACTAGAACAAAAGTTAGTTCTAAAGCTTCGTGTCAATTGTCTCAAACCATCTAACATCTAGCTCAATTTGCCACCATTTTGATACAATAAGTAAGGCTTGACGACCATAATACAACTTGATCGATGGAATCCTGTTATCACTATGGGATAAACAACAGGATATTTATTATCACTTAATAATCAATTAATATGCACTCTACGAAACTAATATGGTGTTCATAAAATCCAACACTATCGGAATTATGTGTGAAATACTCTATCCTTGAATTTATCTGTTTACCAGTCAATCGAGTAAAGTCACATTTTTAAAAAGACATGTGTATAAATATCTCAGCATAAATACAATTGACTGGTCACTGAGTAGAATTTATAGTCATGTTTGTTTAGTTCTTTAGAGTTGATCAAGCCCTACCTATCAAACTACAATATGGCCAGTAGTTCAAGTGACTTGGCACACATACACTATGCTGAGATGTCAGATGGTTGGATAGTCGACAAGAAATTTCTAGTCTTTGTTTTGTATTAGTCAAAACTAATTATCATGGCGTATCTAAATTTAACATTATTAAGGGACCAGGAAAACACTGGTTCTGTTATTAATCAGTGATCAGTCATTTGTACATCAATATTAGATATCTTATATGAGGTCGGTTATACCCTCCAAATAATTAATTGGTAAAGTCTCAAATTGTCAAGCCAAATAATGTGAATTTCAATCTCATAGAGAGAAGGTATAACTTGCTGGTGAGTGTCAACTAGCACTAAATCTAGTTTAGATAGTTTTACCTCTTGACTACTTCCAACCACCTAACGCATGTAATAACTCCTAAGTATGTTACTTCTGTAGTGATTATAAAATAGGTTACCACATTTGTAAATCGAAGTCCAGTTCGTAAACTTCTCGGGTTTGCGATTTTTTAGTTGAACTCTTTTTTACGAGATTGGGTCGCAAACCCTACATCCAATTTCTTTATCTTAACCCTAGTTTGGTATTAACGATTGCAATAGGGGGGAGGGCTCAAAGCGAAATTAATAAATAAATAGTTACTTATTTCAATGGATAAATGGTTTCAAAGCACACTTTATACAATATAAAAATATTTGCCAATATAATTAATACACTTACTCCGTGTATCAGAGATATTTCATACAGATTATATGACAACAATGTTTCCCTATAAACTTCATATAATTAAGAATTTTGATATTAAACACTGAATAATGTCAAATTTGAGCGTAACAATGTTGAGAAAACAGTTAAAGTAAACATTTTTATTGCGAACTTCACATGTTTGATAGAAATGTTAAGTGTTTCTTTCTCTCTCCATATATAGAAGAAATATAAATTAAGGTCAGTCAACCAATGTACACACATACATACACAAACAATACATTTTTCAGTTACTAGGTTTAAAACCTTAATTGAATGAATAGACATCAGAATATTCACAGTTTTCGTTGTATTTTGTTTATCAGCTGATATGCTGTCATCACAATTTTTCATACAATTGATTGATAGATTTTTCAATACTCACTCACTTTCATTCCCAATTTCGATCACAAAAGCATGTGTCATCACAATAATAACAATGGACTATGATATATATAATTAAGGTGAGAATTCTTTTATCCTTATTCCACTTCACTCTCTCCCCTCCGTGACAGCCATCTAAAAAGAAAATGAATATAATGATGGATTCAATTCTTATTTTTATTTCATGGTTAAAATTATGTAACCATAATTATTCGATAAATGTGTATTAATCGTCTTCATCAAAATTCATTATTATTATTATTATTATTATTATTATTATTATTATTATTATTATTATTATTATTATTATTACAGAATGCAACACAGTGATAGTGGAAGTAACAGCTACAATGTAACCGAGGTTCGTAAATAATGGACGCACTTAACTAGTATTATTATCTATGTAGTAGACTGTGGTTAAAATACGGAGGTGGGGTTGGGCAAGAAAAATTGCTTGAAATTCATTTGTTCATTTAAAAAGCAAAAATTAAAAAAAAACACGAGTGAACCAATCATTTTAAAATGCGATAATGATGCTGATTTTAGTACACCTCTCTTTCTCTAACGTTTAATAAAAGAAAAGCAGAAATTTTCAGAAAATGAAATTCCTTTCCATATTTGACGAATGGTAAACAAACAATAACAGAAAAGACAGAGGGGGGGGAATTCCAGCTAAACTCTACTATAAATATTACTTATTTAAATACTTTGTTTCTTACATAGAATTCATTATTTTAAAAATTTATATTTTTGAACAAGAGAATATTAGTTATTGAATTGTGGAAGAATGGAAGAAATTGACGATATTCGGTATCAACAAAAATTAACATTGAGTCAACAAACTTATTTAGAATCGATCATAGAGAATCATTTCTTTACTACAAATCATAATAATAAAATTAATGATACTGGCGAAGAGGATGACATTAATACTAATATGCTACCGTTATCATTATCAAATATAGATCGTGATCATTGTTCAATAATACAACAACAGTGTGTACCTTTTATACAAAAGGGTTACTCAAACTTGGAATCACCGATTCAACTGAATAGTTACAGTTTTATGAATGAAGTAAATCATTCTATGTATTGTCATTCAAATGGAAACGATGCGTATAATGATAGTCCAACTTCTGCTCCGATCATTACTACTACTAATATTAGTATTTGTCATGACCATAATCATCAAAATTATCATGCAAGTACAAGTACTCCACGTTTTATTCATGAATCTGTATGGCATGGCAGAAATGGTGACTATATTGCTGATAATTCCTCTTTTTGCACTGGAACATCACCATCATCATCATCTTTGATGGTGCCATGTTCAACGACCAGAACAACTGCTGAAAATCATATTGACTATGTACATTCAACATATTTAACTAGTAAATTAATCAAGTCATCTAGTACAAATTCATCTCAACAAACCAACACAGGAATCGATTTAACGCATAACATTTTTGAGAATTCACCTATTCTTCAAAATGTAAGTTCATAATCGATATAATATAGTTTTATGACTAAAAGAAAAACATAAGTTGTGGTTTACAACAAATACTGAGTTCACCTGACAAATGAATGCAAAGTGACTAGTATTGAATAATTGTTTCTTTCTAGTATAAGACTCTTCAATGGTTCACTTTTACAATTCCTTATAAACCTGGCATGTTAAGTTTTTATGTTGAACTGGTTATCTTTGGATCACTAAAATCCGAAGGATTACACTTTTGAATTCAGTCATTTTGTAAGATAAGTTGACAATCATTTAGTTCAGTTGATAAGGAACTACTTCATATAAGTGAACAATACAATAGAATTAATGATAACCTACTAAATAACATTGAATTAGAAAACATTTGAACGGATCACTCATTAAGTATAATTTGACATATAAATGATCATTTAAGATAATTTATAATTATTGAATAAACTTAATAAATGATCCAGTGGTTTCTTAAAAGAAAAAAAAGAATCTTGAAACCATAGAACAAGAATAAATTTTAATCAATGAAATTTTTTAACTTCAATAAACATGTAAACAATTATGATTTACTGTCAGTTATTAATTAATTAAAATTCTTTAATAATATAATGTGATAATTTAATTTTTAATTTATTATTCAAATTAATCATTTATATATGATGGATGCGTCACTCAATTTCATGGATTAGTTGAAGTTAGACATTAACACCATTGGATACCAGCTCAGTGGTCTAGAGGTTAAGCGTTCGCACGTGAGATCGATAGGTTCTAGGTTTGAGTCTCGTGACGACGAGATCGTGGATGCACACTGCTGAGGAGTCCTGTCCTAGGACGAAACGGCCGTCCAGTGCTTCCAGGTTTCCCATGATGCTCTAGCTTCAACTGACTCATGATCTCAACTATTGACGTTAATATATTTACTAAAGATAATTGACAATTGAAATAATAGTTAAACATTTTTTGAGAAAAAATTTAACCTTGACATTCTTATTTATTTTTGTCATTTTATCATTTTATTAAAATAGAATTCTCATAATAACAATCCAAAATATCGTCGTAATTCTAACAAATTATCACCTTTTATACGTAAAGAACATCAACGTGAACAAGATAAAAATCGTACAAGAACATTGAATGTTGCATTTTGTCGTTTACGTTCATGTTTACCAGAAATACCGAAAGATACAAAATTAACAAAAATTAGAACATTACGTTATGCAATAACTTATATTCGTCAATTAATGGATTTAATTCATCAAACTGATTCAGTTAATTCACCTAATATGTTTGATACTGGTTTGAATTCATTAAAAATGGTAAGTATTATTATTGTTGTACGAATAATATTGTATTGAATATGCCTTATTCACGAATTGGTAATTTAATTTCTGAAAAATATTGTGGATGCATGGATGCGCACTGCTGAGGAGTCCCACAATGGGATGAAACGGACGTCCAGTGCTTCCAAGTTTCCAACACTGGTCTAACATCAATCGACTCATGATCTCAATCAAAAATATTGTTCACATTTGACCATTCAGTCTATGAAAGCATCTTGATAGTTAACTTCTCAAATAGGTCATATTGTTTATGAAGTTATTAGTGTTGGAATAATTAATAGAACGCTGGAATATTGTATTATACAATCTGTGTAATTAAAATAACAATTGCATCAATGTAATGAATAAAATGTCTGCTCAATGAGACTTTACAAGTAGTTATTGTCAGGATAGCTCAGTGATAATGCCTTCATCTGTGAACCCAACTGAGTTGAATGGTTGTTATTACCAAGGTTTGACTTGATAATTTTAAATAAACTGAGCATTAGGTAGATTGATATCAATAAAAATAATATATTTGTAATATCTAAATGAGTAGAAAACATTAAAATTGACCGAGTTCTCTTGAAAATGCAGTCATTGATAATGAGGATATACATGGGATTTTTACGAGTTAATAATTAATGAAACTTCATTTCTTGATTACATGAATTACAACAAGCTTATAAATATTAGAAAGATATTGAATAATAATTGTAAAATTGACTGAAGGTAAGCAGAGTGTAGAACATTTTCAGCTCTTTCTAAACTTGTGGATATCACCCACGCATAAATATCAGAACAGTACCGAAAAATTTATCAGAGATTTTTAATACTGTTTAATTTTGCAGTAATTCACTAGTGAATATTAGTTAGTAATAGGGAATGATTGTCTAAATAAGATCATTCCGTAATGTAAACTAGGAAATTCAACAATCTCTACAAATCCTCGATACCAATAATAATCATGTACTCATTGGTGACATGTAATTTTCAAAATCGTAGCGATAAATTGTGATGGTTGGAACTCAACCATCTCGGGTGTGAAACAGTAACTCATCAGTGCTATTAGAAGATTAACGTGCAATATCACTAGTTGATTTAAGCTAAATATTTTAACCTTTGGATATTCATTAAGTGGTATATATGTTGTGCGCTCATCACAAAACCTGAAGATCCTGAGTTTGATCCTCAATGGGGTCATTGTAATGCTGTTCAGTGATTCTTGGTTTTCAACAGTTGTATAACTAACGTCAGTTCTTGATGTAAACTAAAATTTAACTATCTTAATTAAGTAGCTTCAAAAGATTTGTTTAAATTAAACACCGTTTACATGATTGACTTATAAGAATCAGAGAAACTCTTTAAATCATAATAAAATCATCACCTTTATACTATTACATGAACCAAATTCGAACATAAAGTATCAAGTTTTTCTATTTATTAATGCATAATTAACTGGTTAACTATAATTAATCCATTATCCTTCTACTATTTCTATATATTTTAGGAATCTGAACATGATCAATCATTAATGAAGGATAGTGGATATTTAAGTTTTATGGATAGATAAAATTGAATGAATTATGAAGTGGAGTATTTTATTTATAATTTAGAAATTTATATTTCGAATTTTTCCCCCTTTTTTTTAAAAAAAAGAAAAGAAACGAAAAGAAATTATTGATTTACATTTTACGTATTCGGTTTCATCATTGTTCTTCTTTTCTTTGTTTTGTATATGTACAGAGTTATTATTTATTCAATAGGACTTTTATCTTTTCGATTTATTATTTTTTTTATTTATTCAAACAAAAAAAACAAAATTACAAAACGTACAATGTTCAATTTTATAAATTATTACAATGATAAACTTTTATTTAAAATATAGTCTCCACTTTTTTTTAGTTTTGTGCTAATATTTCACTTATTTATATTTAGATTTAAAGAACAAATACACTACTGTTCATCTTTTTCTAAAAATGACTAAATACAATATATGAAACATACAAATTGTGTTTTCTTTTTCAGAATAATAAATAAGAACTATCGTTTAAAGTTGATCGAATAGTTTCACAGTATTTGGGAGTTGAGTTAATATGAGACATTAAAGAGAAAGAATATATTTGTTTAATCTTAAAAGAATGAATTTGAAGTAAATTCAACGTTTCACCTAGTAATCTGGTCTAAGTTATTTCAAGGAAATAACTTTGATTATACAAATACATTCTTCCTCTTTAAAAAAAACTGTTACTGAAGATGGAATCCTTCATGTGTGTATACCAATTTAACTGCTCCTGTGGAGCTAGTTACATAGGCCGTACTCAGAAGGCTTTATCCTTGCGTGTTCGTGAACATGTACCAGTATGGTTGGGGAAAGGAGTTACTAAATCGATTAACAACACTATTCCTTCTCACTTGGTAGATAGTGAACATTATACCAAAAATAAGAAGCTTTCTCTGTTTTATATCAAGTTCCAAAATATCTACCTCAAGGAGCTAGATTACGACTGCTCCGGATCAACTCCAGAAAACCAAACTTATGTATCCAAAAAAGGTATATCTAGCCCCTGTGTTTACCCTGGCCCACAGTTAGATCACCGGATACCTAAACTGAATATTGTGAACCTCTTAACCCCTCTACTTTTTCTTTTTTGATTACCTCTATCTTAATCTTCACATCCATCATTCCCAATCAGTTTATCGTAATTGCCTTGATAACACCCTCCTTATTACATATTGTATTCACACAACAATATTACTATTATTATCTCAATTGACAAGATGACGTTCTCCTACTATGCATTTTATTCACACAATTTCTTGCATTTTCATTGTTGCTATAATACTATTCTACTTATTGCGACTGGACACTATTCCAAATCATTCTGACCTATATTAAATGACCGCTCTAATTTGCAAACAACACAATTTTGAAGTATGTATGTCGTAACAGATGCAAACGTTTACCTTTTTTTAAGACATATAACATTGTCAAACGCATGAATACATGCCTTATTTCTAGACTTATAAGTGTAGAGCCTGATGATGAAGTTAGTGAAAACAATTATTCGCTCAAAAATTTTTCTGTTTAAGTATTTTAAAATATATTACTGAATCACGTCGAAGTACATAAATACAAATGGTAGTAAAATAATTTTTGAGCTTTATTCTATGTAATCAGTATTTCAGAGGATTTTCGAAGGTAAATAATTTTATGTTACAACCAAAAAGCATTCGTTTGATTGGAGTTACCAACCGATCTAAGTTAGACAACTATTAAAGATTTGTATGCACCGGATGGCTGTTTCTTCCTATTTGTTACTCTTTTACAGTGCGCATTCACGATGACTCAATTGAAAATTGAAGATAGTTACTCGTAAGCTCCGAGTCTGTTCCATTTAGAAACCTGACGAAAATAAAATGTGAATTGAAACTTCAAGCCATTTGATTGAGATATAAGAATAGATTTACTGTTATTATTGGTAGAAGACATGCATAGGCTACATGTTTTCGATTATAGATATTTTCAAAGTATTCCTCGCGTTTATGGAAGAACCAAGTAAGTAATGTTGAAGTTAGGTATAGGCTGCTATGTAAAATGGCATGTCAGTTGACGAAGTTATCAACCTTAATCGATTGAAGTGGTTATGACGTATGTCTTTTTTATGTTTGACCACAGTCTACCTGAATGGACGATATTTACTGATGTACGAATAGGTTACAAGAAAACTAAGAGTAACAAAACTAAATCAACACAATGTTTTGTCTCAATTAATTAAGCATATATAATAACCACCCCTGTCTATCTTTTCCCTAGTCTTAATGAGCTTTGTCTACAAATTCAACTATCAGCATGGCGTAACTTCATGCATAATGCAATTTTCTGATTAATACAAACTATAATTCCAACAGTTATCCTATTTTAAATACAGTAATAATATTAATAGAGTACTTTTATCGAGACGAAAGCAAGTCATCGATGCTCAAGTGATTAACTTTTCACAGATTCTTTTTTATTTCCAGTATCATTTTTATTTGCGATATAATATGACCAGTATTTTTATAAGCAGTACTATAGATAGGCTGAAATTCATCTCTCTTAGGTATACAACCTACAAATTAAACCAATCTCTATAAAACTCACCCAAATAAACTGTAATAATGAGCTTACTAGTAACTTACTACAGGATATTTCTGAAGTATCAGTGCGAACTGTGACCGATGGAGTTTAGACATTGAGAGTGAAGCAGTTTTCACCAATGGCATTGGATGAGCGCAGGGCTGAATCACAAATTGGTTGAAGTTGGCACTATACCATCGTATCCTGACATACTGGTGTTAATCATTGTGTTTGCTGAAAGACCTAGAGTTCCTAGGTCGGATTCCTACTGGGGTCGTGGGTGTGAACCTGAGAGGAATCCAATACTAAAAAGAAACGGCTGTCCAGTGCACCTTGGTCTCTAGTGGTACACGAAGTGAAACCGCTTTGTGACATGCATAGCTTACAAGCTAAATTGATCTCTAGAAAACCACTTCAACTAGAATTCGACTGAATCATTTCGAAAAATTACCAATGTAAAGGTGAGAAAAATCAGCACTTGAAAAGGAGTCAACAATAAAAGTCGGTTTAATTTTAGTCGGCTATCGAATGTGAACTGACTATAAGATTAAAATTAACCGTAGTATTTGATGATGAACAGAATTTTTTTTGGGAGTTCATGGATCTAAATTTAATGATAATCATTTTTTTAACCCATTAACTAAAATTATTGAGTATTGATTGCTAGATTTTAACTCATCAGCCCAGCAGTAATTTACATGTTACCATGTAATAAAGGGATGGATGTAGAGCCAACAGTAATCGCTGAAGATATAGTATAAATAGATAGGAAACATTATGGTTTGACATGATCTTCTAAAAATGAAGTTAGTTCATGAAAATTACTCTTAAACTTTAAGCAACTGAATCACAAAATAAGTTCGACCATTAAAAACACAGTTTATTACAACAACTCAATAATACTCTATCAGCAAAGATGGATAGTGGCTAGCAGTGGAATTCGGGACGCGCGTTTAGTCCTTTTTGGGACTCGATGGCGTTTGAAGCGAACGGTACTCAGTTCGAGTTCCAGAGTGAACATCAACTCTGAGATGCAGGTACATCCAGCTGACGAGTCCCAAATGGGACGAAACGTGAGTCCTGGATTTCACTGCTAGCCACCATCCATCTTTGCATATAATGCTTGTAAATTAAGGCAAAATCGAGGCATACGCACAGTATGCACATATGCCAATAAGAGACTGATCAATTTCAGTCCTAAAAACATCAATGGGAAGAATCAAGTAAAACAATACCAAGTGAATCAATAATACTTTTTAAGATTTTATTATTGAATGAACAAAGTTAAAATCCTTGAATATTAAAAATTCTCCTTCATGTTATATTTATGACAAGCAACGATATACAAGACTCTAAATCAATCAAAACAATGTCTTTTGAATAATTTCAAATCAATTAAATTAGTGACTAGATGAAATTCAGTCAACATCAGGGACTTGATTCTAGTACATTTGAATCGTTTAACTTTTACTTTTTCATTTCAAACAAAATCTAGATTTTCATTTATCTTCCTGTTATATGAAAAAAGTTTGTGAATCATGTCAAGAAAGAGTTAAATGATGAAACAATTCACAATTTCTTGTGAAGTTATCTATTATGTGAGTAATCAGAGAAAACAATCCTTCAATTACGAAGTATTATGAATGTTAATAAAAATAATATTGAAGACTAAAAATCTTACATATAAATATCAACCGTGAGAATGAATAAAACTGATGATCCTAATTTAGTCATAGTACAAAATATAAAGAAGTGAAATACATTTCAATCTATTCTAAATGAAGTGTAAGTGTGGGAAAATCACTCTTAAACAGTCGTGTGTTTCTTAAAGTTACATACATACATAAATGGAAATGTTGATAATATTTGATAGCTGATTTAATTCAAATAACCTGCTATTTTTTTTAAAAATTATTATATTTAGATATTATTAGAACTACAATAGAATGTGTAACTTCACTTCGGCCTTTAAGTATATATGAGTCATTATAAGCTAGGACAATAATTCTGTACACTTAAAATTAATTTAAAGGTAGAATTAAAGTAATTCTTTAGAAATTATTATTAGATCTGGTATTATATGTGTCTAGAATCATTAGGTATAGAAGAAGGAAAAGTATATTGATTTCTTTGAAGATTGAGCACAGATTTACTGGAAGAATACATATCATATGTGATAAATGACACTGACTACTGATTAGTCACGTTTTAGATATTAACTATTACGGATTTCCACTTTTTTTCAGGGTTTCATCCTCGTTTGTGACTTCTTATCAGTGTGTATTCGTTAATCCATCAGGAGTTCAAACCAGAAACTTAAGTTTTCATGGAGTGCACATTACTTTTAAACTACTTTGTTAAAATTTAGTGCTCTTCATCGACTAAATCGATCAATTCAAGGTACAGAGTGAAGTTTATACAATTCCATAAGTGATGACTGCCTTATTTATGAC